GCTCTGTGGGAGGATATTAATCAAGCAAGCACGTGTTAGTGCAGTGATCCCATCTCGTGTACATCAGAACCACTGCCAGTAAGGGTATTGACACGCTGATGTACGTCGTGTGGTAACTGATGTTTTGATGAATTTGAAATGGTACCTGGCCATGATGATTCGATTGTTTATAGGTGTCCAGCACTCCACGCAGTCTACCTTTTCTTTAGCTCCACTATGCTGGAAGTCAATGTTCTTTCTGGAAATGACAATAAGCTGTCAAGTCTGTGTCCTTTCCCTTTCAAACCGCGTTCAAAATCTGCATCTTCTCGTCCTTAGCAGCTTCTGCCCCAAACTGGCCAGTATTCCCTACACTGAATATAGTTTCAGTGCCATATTTTCAACTTCGTTTGGTGGTTAGCCAACGACTGCAGCCATGTATAAGCTACCTTTTTGGCTTCTGCCCATTTCCATCGTACTGCTGTCCTTTCACGTGATGAAATCATCATCAGGAACTTTCCAAATCACTTAACTAAGGCCGGTATGACTGGTTCACCGCCACAAGGTTATAAGCCCAGGGTTAAGCACGATTTGATTACACCACTTGTACTTTTCTATCATTGATTGTTTTGTTTGTTTGTTTGTTTGTTTGTAGCATACCCTTCCATCATTCACTGTCCCATCGCATAAAGACGGTATTGTTTACCCTCTTCCAATTGTAGTCTATAGAATGTTTGATTACACAGATGTACCTGAGGTTAGTAAAATATGATCTTTAGCAATACTAAATAAAATACCAACTGTCGAAAAACTATTGGACACTTGTATTTTGTAAGGTCTAAAGTAATTCCAACATGGACAATTTTAATTGGACAAATCTTGCTTTGACATGATTCTTGTCCTTATTAGTAACTGTGTGAAGGTGATGAAGACTGACTCTCTGCAAATCTTGTTTGGTTGACTTCTGTTTTTGTTAAACACAAAGAAAAGCACGACCATATTCATAATGTTAATGGTACTGAGTTTAGTCCAGTTCGATCTGTAATCAAACGAGTGATGGACGAAATCGGACGACAGCTTAGTTAGAGTGAGATTTGTTTCATTACGAGCACGTATAAGACAGAATTACAACACGAAGTTCTGGTTGTTTATTATTTACAAAAATTCCGGCTGGAAATTAGATGGAACACGACTTTTTGGGTCTTTCCAGGGGAAAATTTCCGGAAGCAACGGAACATCTTAAAAGGTACCAAATGGAAGTTCGTGTTCCATTTCTTCAAAGCCATCTTTGATACCAGTTTGGTAAATGCGATTCTGGGACGAAATTTACCAAACTTTAATGTTGCTTACCACTTACCCAAACCATAAACCGACTGATTAGCCCACGTAAAGACCTCTTCAAAAGGTAAACAAACCTTTGTTACCAATTAGTCATAATTATAACTGAAATTCAAATTTTTTTAAAAAACATAACATCTCTCTAGAGTTTTTTCTCTAATTAAGGGAAGAAAAGAACTCATTCAAGCATGCATAGCGATGGCAGCACGTACTGTCCAATAGGCCTCTTGTAATAGTGAGTCATGTGATCAACGTTACTTAAACACAGAAACAGTTCGCTTTGGAAAAATGATTTTTAAAGGATCTGAAAGAGCGTATTAAAATTAGGTATCTTGTTAATTTCCAGCTGAATATCTCAAAAGTAGCGATTGTAACGGCCGACGAAAGTTAATTTAAAAGTTAAAAGGAAGTAAAATTTTGAAATTTCAAATTGTTTTAAAATCTTCCCTTAAGTATTACAGCAATCGAATTTATACGGCTGAAAATTAACAGGTTACCTAATTTTTGAAGCTCTTCCAGTTCCTGATAAAAAAAAAAATCAGGTCTACTAATAGCCAATCAGATGTAAGAATTTTGCTTTACGACCACCGCTTTTATTACAAACACGTTATGTTCCCGTATATGTAAAAACTCTGTGAGTTATTTTTCTGATGTAAAAACTCCCTAATACGACCAGATGATCATGGCCCTTAGGTGCGGGTCATAATAATGTTTTTTGTTTTTGTTTTTGTTTTTTTTTTACCACAGATGAATAAATTGTTGTTTAGGTAGTTTTTAATGGTTTTTCTATATGATATTCTTTTTTTTTATTGTTAGTCTGAAGTATGAAACCTAACAGTTGATGTTCGTGTTCTTTTCAGGGGCCTTCAATGCCCGGTGCTCATGCGATTGAAAGATATTTAGTAGAAGAGAGTATCCAGAGAACCATAAATGCTCATTTCAAGGACAGAAAGGAATGGTAAGATATACTGTTCAAAAGTTGGGTTTTTGTCGAGAAAAAAATGGTCAAATTTTAGTGGCTCTGTTCAGTTTCGTGTATGTAATCTGCCCTTGTATTGCAAGCCTGTAACAAATAAAACTGACAGATCTTTGTTTCAATCAAAATGTTTTGTGTTACCGTAAAGTTCCGAAAGTAACGACCCCTCGAAAGTAGCGATAAGATGTCACAGGTGTTAGCAAATCCAGGAAATAGCGATCCCTCCAAAAATAAAGACCCTCCGAAAATAGAGACTTCGAGACTAATTTCCCTTTTTCCAAAAAATAAGGTGTGTTAGATATCCTAAACAAATGCCACACTGATCCGAGGTTTATTAATAATGATTATTAATGACATTCCTATTCATAACTCTTAAAGTACAGGATATACATTACCTTTTTTTTCAAAAAGTATTCCTTTCACATTTTTTGCGATTTTATATTTTGAAGTGCCCATGTGGAGTCATCCGAAAGTAACGATCCCCTCGAAAGTAGCGATAGAAGAAGAATGCTAAAATCCGAATGCAACGAGGGTCGATACTTTCGGAACTTTACGGTATATTGTAATTGTCTATTTTTGCGGTGTAAGGAAAACTTGAATTAAAAAAATCTGTCACGCTAGTGACCGACAAGAGCATTCGTCACAAACATGGACCTTAAAAAGTGTTCAGTTTTGTTGACATAATTTTTATTTTTTCAACATATCTTGTCTTGACTCTTAGTGCTAACCAGTTATTGAATTTGCCTGGGAAGTCAAAAGTACCAATGCATTATTGCATCATAGAGGTTAGTGTTCAAATATTAAGCACGCATCGAAAAGAAATAACAAATCTGGCTGTATTTCATGAAAGCCTGATTAGCTATTATCCTTACACGTGAGTAGTTACTACATAGTGGATAGGAGGGTGCATAAGTGCCCGACGCCGCAGATGTCAGGCTAGATCAGACGAAGGTTATTGAAAGTCTTAAGGCTAAGGCTAGCTATGAGATTGTTAGTGTTGGAATGCAAGACAGTGTTGGAGGATAAAATGCTGCCCCTTTCTGCAAAGGGTGCCGAAAATTTGGTCCATGCCCAAGGCCCCAGTAACTCGAAAGGTGGATAACACTATCCACCGGATAAATCTCTACCCAGTGGATAACGCAGTTGGTTTACTTAACACTTATCCGCTGGATAGTGATTTATTCCGAGATGAATAGTGCTAGCCAACGTTTGAACAAGAGGATCCTATCTCTTTCTGACGTCAACCCTGTAAGAGCTATTGCCCTTCCCATGTTTATTGCGAATTTGTTTCTGAAAAGCACTCTTACGTTGGTTGGTTTTCGTTGCATCATAGTGTAAGTAATAGAATTGAGATCACATAAACTTACTTGAGCGCGTATTTTTTTAGTTACGCGTAGCAGCAAAGGGTAAAATTTGGAAAACTGAGAAAAAAAAAACTATTTTTTTCTTTTTTTTTAGGTTGTTTTTTCAGAAATGTTTAGACTACCAAACTCTCACCATCCACAAATTTTCTATGGATCATTGATTATTGAGCTCTGCAAGCTACAACCTAACTCAATGCCTGGTGTTGTATCCTTGACATTCCACTTTTGTAATTTATCATTATTATTCTTGTTATCTTAGTAAGTGATTGGTTTTCTTTAGATAATTCTTAAAACATATTCAAACTGGAACCAATCTGTCATTGGTATTGTCAATTTTTGAATTCTTAAAGTATTTTAAATGTGCTTGATTTCTTTCCTCCTCGGAGACCTACTGGCAGTCAGTCGAGTCGGGAGAAAAGGCGCGACGAACGTTTTCAAGCACAGGTGGAAGAGCCCCTGGGTACCGACTCTTACCATACCATTTCCAAATTGCAAACGAGCACTGGCTCCTGATTGGGCACAAAAAATGCCCATCATTGTGCCCAATCAGCGAACATACGTCTCGGCATACTTGTCCGGCTCGTTCACCAAGGTTGTCCGTTCAAGGGAAACTTTCATTTTGATATAAACCCCGCCCATTTCAAAAATACTGTCTACCCGAAAACTAAAACCTGGAAACTATGCTAGGGTATTTTAAAGACGCTGTTCCAAAGACACAAGCTTGAGCTTACATCACGTGTTCAAGTTTGCTTCGATCGCGCCTTCGTAAATATTATTTGCGTTACCTTGTGATCGGTCAGAAACAATTTTCCCGGTGCAATTTGGAATAGTCCTGCTGATAACATCCGAAACGTTTTCCCGAGTCATCGGTAGTTAATTTGTTTCTGGGGAGGAAAGTAGAAAAGAAATACTGTCCGCTGATTGGGCACAATAATACAAAGCCATTGATTGTACCCAATCAGGAGCCAGCATTTGCTTGACCGTTTGGAAATGGTCTGTTAAGAGTAGGTACCCAGAGGCTCTTCTGCCCGTGCTTGAATACTTTCGTCGCGCTTATTGTCCCAACACGACTGACTGCCTCATGAATTAAAATATAATGCATGTATCTTCGGTTGTTTATTGGCTCCATAAAAATACTAGTTTTCAAAGCATCTGTCGTATGTTTGCTTTGTTCCTTAAAATAAATGCATCAGGTCGCACAAGCAACAGAACTGTTATATGAGAAATTAAACACAATGAGTGTGACTTGTACAGAAAGGTTGGTACTGTGTTTTCATCGACGATATTATTTCACTAGTTCCCACGAATGGTGATTTGGAGTGATGGTTGATGTATAAGTGTATAAAAAGGAGGCATTCTAGTTGTTGTTGACTTTTTATTTATTTATTGCGTTCGACGAAGGAGAACGCTTATTATTCGAGTCCCGCGGGATTTCCAGCGGGTAGCGTGCTGGATGCCATGTGATTTCATGTTTTGGGCGCCATCTTGGACAGGCTGGCACATTTTGCCTCGATCTTATGTGTTCAGTTTTTCCGCCCGGGAACTGGTATCTATTTTTTCCTAACTGTTCGCATATGAAACATTGGCGAGCTTGTGTTTATTACAGGTTTGTTTATCGTTTTTCTCACAGTTTTCAATTAAGTTTATCAATTTTTTATAGGAAAAGCTCCATTCTAAGATAATCGAATATGTAGATGTTTATGTTTGAAATGTGTTCAGCACGCCATATTTGTTTTTATCGAATCTAGCAAGATCAGCTTAGATCACCATATTTAATTCTATTACAACTTCAGTACATCTTTTCGCTTTTGAAAGCTATTTACAGAGTGCTATTCGCCTTTGTTTCTCACTATTTTGAAAAATATACAAGAAGTTAAACGGTGAAACGTTGACCTTGCCATCTCATTAATTGCGGGTGCGTTGTATTTGAAAAGCTGAAGCAGTGCTGAGTAGGTGAGCCGTGTTAGCGCTTTGACACATTAATCATTTCAGATTACTTTAATTTTCCGTAGCCTAATTTTTAGCCAATTGTATTGACCATCCTACTTATTTAAAAAATCTCTTGAGGATCATAGTAAGTGTTTGACCTGCTGTAACTTACATGTACTTTACCTAAAAGCTAGGCCAAGTAAATGTAAAAAACACAGGACGCTCTAAAATAGTAACTAATTGTAAAGTGGAAGGATAAACAATAACACTGATAAAGACAGCTGGTGATATTCACATTGATAAAAGTGATTTCCCAATCTTTCAAGCTCGTCAAGTTTTGCGCCCCCTTACAACTACCACTCACTACTAATTTTTCATAATTTTAAACATCGAAGAATCATTCAAAACTTAATGAACCAGTTACTACGACCTTAAGTAGCCATTTTTTGAATGATTGAAACTGGCTAGATTTGGGGGAAAAGGGTAGGAATAAACGAAAAATAAGGCTTTGACCAAACGTCTCCCCTAAATGTTGCATTTTGCTACCCACTCAACTCGTATGTGTAGAATGAAGTGAAGTGAGATACGCCCAGCATTGACCGCCCCGGGGAGACCGCGTATTGCGAAGTCTTGGGTAAAATGATTCGAAAGAAGGGAACAGCGCAGGGATTGTTTTGATGGGATGGTACTATTTCTTCTAGGTCAATCAACACGGAGGGAGGGTCCGCTGCGTTAGTTTTGACCATCAAACAAAAGGCGATCACGCGACCGTCCGTAAACACTTTGCAAGTTTGAATTCTGCTAACGTTCGCAGTCACAACTGCTGTCACATTGTTCGTCCAGCCGCTTGCATAGATTCTTGACTCTACTGGACCTATTTGCTTGGTTTAATTAAATAAACTGTTCTTTCCAGAAGTACGTCTACTCCACAATATGTCATCCAAAGTGGCGAGGGAGGACGAGGATTTTCCGCCTAGGAAAAAGGCAAAATCGCGCACATAAATGTTTCCTTACCATATTTTCCATTCAGCTGCATAGCCTAGTAGTTCATGGGAGATTCGACGACTCATCCCATTTTGTCCATGTTATTGACACACACTACTACATCTGGGCCGCCTGTGCTTAAACAGTCCATTTTATACCCCGATTTTTTCTAACAACCCACAATCCCTTGATTTACTCTGACAAAGGGCTCGTTCTTTAAATGCCAGAATATAAACTTTTTAAAGGGCTAAAACTGTAGTTTTACCATCTCAGTTGTACGTTTTTTTGGCTAGGTTTGTGCAGTGGTTTTCATATCACCTCAGTAACTTTCAGTTTAAATGGAGCTGGGATGAGTGGTATGTATCCATATACCTGCCTCTTTTTGAAAAGCTGGTATGAGAGATGTTGTTATTTGAAAGAGTAAAATCATACGCGACGATGCTCAAACGAAGTCTGAGATATCAACAGTGAATCCAAATAAATTCTTTCACCTCCATGGAGTGACTGTTCAATAGAATCTTTGACCTCCTACTTGTTTTTATGGTTTCTTCTTCCTCTGCACTGAAACGTTCAATCAAACAATGATGAAGTAATCACAACCCATGCGTAGTGCGTACGTTTCTATGCTTTGAAATAACAGTTGGATAAACCTTTTACACATTCTGTAGGACTTCTGCTACAGATGCGGGACTGGATTCTCCCAGATGCGTATTTTTGAGTGAGCTCTTTGAAAGAATCAAAAGGTTAGAAATGTTACTTTGTCGTCACCGTAAATACTTGGCTGGGCCTAACATAGAAGTTAATCATATCTTTGATAATAAATAGCCATATTGTTGCTAAAAACACTTTGAGTAGAAGTTTTCCTCACAAATCCACTGCACTGCGTTTACTGTTTTTGTATATAGATAGTACTAAGTTTTGAAGTGACACATAAGAATGAATGTTGTTAGTCATGCCTGTTTTGAACTATTCTCACTTTCAGGTTTTCGTACCATCAGTTTTTGATTGAGAATATTCCTGAAGGACTGCATAGCCTTCTTCCTGTTACCCCATCACCTAGCTACAGATTTACACCAGATCAAGGTACTATATCATTCGTTTTTAGACTCTGAAATTACAAGTTTAATACCATTGAATTCAATTTAATGGTTATCTTGATCATTTTTTATGCTTACTGGCTAATATGTCAACGTTTGTGTACGTCCGTAAGTCTGATTCTATTGTCCTCGTAGCACACGGCGTTAACGTTTAATCTCCGGAGCACAGGTACCACGTTCGATAACCGGCATCGCCCATATTTTTTTTATGGTTACTGGCGCCAGTAACGCATTATGCTATCGTCTGTTTTAGTCCGGAAGTCCTCCTTGCCGAAGCGCGAAGTATGAAGACCGACGGTATATTATACCAGAAACTCATACGAGTTTCTGATTATACCGAAACGGCTCTTACGATTAAACGATTAAACTAATATTTAAATACCGTGTTAAGAGATGTATGTCTTCTAATGTGAGGAACAGACTACTCATTGCCAGTAAGCACTTGTCCTCTCAAGGGACTTTTTTTTTTATTCCACTACCAGTGATTGTTCTTTACCACGTAGGACCATTTCGTAAAATCCCGGAGAAAGGAGCTACAATACTGTACAGTACTGCAAATGATCCCCAACTGCAAATGAATCCCAAGACCGCAAATGACCCTCGACCGCAAGTGATCCCCAAAGTCGACCGCAAATGATTCCGAAAGAAAAATAGGAATGGCTTGGACTCATCATGTCAATTTTATTATTATTACAAAAAGTCAGACTAAAAGCGAAATTTTACTTCTCAAATAAACACTTTACATGAATTAAAACTAAATGAAAAAATCATCCAAGTGTAAAAACGGGGACGGTAGGTAACACGCGACTTTTACCTCATGCCAAAATGCCTGTTCAAATGAGTTTTTTCTCTGAAGGGTAGATTATGCTCTGGAGGAGAACGTTTTGCCGGTTATTCCATACGGAGAGGTCATGACACCCATATTGATTTTATACGGTTATTGTTTCTGGTCGGCATGATTTGCTCTTTGATGCAAGAGCATTTCCTTTGACATGTTTTGAAATGCAATGGTCTTCATTGCGGCTAAATAAGTTTTTAGGTTGTTTAATTCTCTCCAAAGTGCCTCCTGGATCCCAATATAGCGATTTTCGTTTAGTCCGTGAATGTGACGGTTTCTTACGATGTTTTGTCACGCGATAACTACTGCTTACCTCGCTTTTGCGTTTCTCACTACTGGAAACTGGCTCCAGCGAAGGCACAACAAATGAATATACACAGGGCTCCAGATATACATGTAAGCGTCAATGTAACTATTCGCGACATGTTCATGAGCTGTAAGTAGGTTGCTATTTCGAAATAAATCGAAACCTGTGGACACTAAGTTCGGCAGCATTTTGACGTTTGTGTATTTTAAATCATGTCTTTTTTCGTAACGGAAACTTAGGTTAACACTTCAGATAAAAATCAAATTCAAATATTCTGAAAATTAATTCGCCACTTCCAAAAAGACCTCTACGAATGTTCGTACCAGCCAGGTCCAGTCGCTGCTAATTGACGGCGAGGACATCACAGATACTGCGACTATATCAACGCGATAGTAGTGCCTTTACTTGACTATTGTGCGGTCGTTTGGGATAGCTTCCAAAAAGATCAGTTTTAAAGTGATTAAAGCTCTTGTCATGTAGAGGGTGACTGGCTTTGTACTCCTCAGTAGACAAGTTGAGCTTCTAGGTGTTAAAATAATTAGTTTTTCTGCGTCCTGCCTGTCTTAAATTTTTACAGCGACGAAACTTTCTTGAAAGAAATTTAAAGCAATTGACAAGAGAAGTATACGGTTGATACCATACCCTTTTCAGATTTATTCCTCTTTTTTCCGCCTTATTGTATAAATTGACCTGAGATGTGGCGTCCTCTTTCCCTTTTTCTTTAGAAGGCGAGAGAAAATGGTTCCTTTTTCATAATCAGTCTTTCTTTGTAATCAGTCCCATAAAATCCATTGCATTCGTCAATTTTTCACGGAATCATTTGCTGTCGACTTTGGGGATCACTTGCGGTCGAAGATCATTTGCGGTTGGAGATTATTTGCGGTATTGTAGAATGCTCTTAAAACTTTGTTAAAACACTGGACTGGAATTAAACAGTTTTCATTTTACGCAAACTCAGCTAACTTATTTAACTATTCCCTCTGTAATTCACCTCTCCTTGGATTTAAATGGGGTTGGTGTTGTTAAGGAAGGGTAGCCAATGTTTCACAGGTCCCGTGTTCACCCCATTTGACCCTCCTACATGTGTAATCCACCGTATCTAAAAAGATGGCGACTTGTACATTTACCCTCAGTTCTTAGCGCATGAAAACAATAAAATTGCTCATAAAAACGCACAAAAACGTTTTATTAACTCCAAACCTAGGATAGCGCCCCCCCCCCAAAAAAAAATATATATATATATATATGACTTTATGTGTAATTGGCCGTGTTAGGTTCGAAAGGAATTGTGGTAAAATGTACAGCCGCCATCTTTTTCCGTACGGTGGATTATAGTTAAAAAAACTGGGTGTGATAGTGAATAACTGAAGGCGAATATGCAGCTATCACATGCTATCTTTAATGTGTAATAATAATTACTTGTGAAGTGTGTCATTAGTAGTGAGTGGATGAAATGTAGGAGATAATGCTGCAGTGAAAATAACAAGTAAATGCTGGTAATTGGAGAAAAAAATATTTACTGTTAAGTGAATTACAACAAGAGAGTGTTTGCACTTGTTGTAGTACATAATCACACTTGACAACTAATTGTTTGTAACTGTATGGTCTAAACATAATCACTTACACTAAAATAGAAATTACATGTAGCAATGTGATATTTTCCCTATTTCACCCCGTTTTTTTTCCTTTTTCCCCCACTGTGGAGCCTGGTCCCAGGTTATGTCATTAAGGATGCAGTTGAGGTGAACTATGAAAATGATCATGACTCATGATTATTGAATATCCGGTACCCTTATTAGCAATGAATTATCACTGTAAAAGATACCAAATTTTTTATGGAAGTGCTTATAGTTATTTGTGTACATGCATGAGAAACAATTACTCATGCAAGAGTGAATTTGTATGAAATGTCCACATAGGTGATCAGGATTTCAATTCTCAACATGCATGAGCTTGTTGAGACATGGTTGCCAGAGGCATAGTTTTTTAAATTCCCAGACTGATAGTCAAATGTACACTTTCCCTGACCAAATGCGCTGACAAGTTGTCCAGATATTATCAAAACTTCGTGTTCTGGAAACAGATGATGTAAAACAATATAAATCTTTGTTTTCTGTTCAGGGAAAATCTGCTTGGTATGTTTTCATGGTTTTTTGTTCTTTTCTTTTATGTCATCTGTGCCTGGTACACAAATTAAAATAAATGCCCAAACTCCCATCACAGCCATCCTGTACACCGCTCACTCGTGAGATATTGTTCTTGCCACGAGAACATAAAATTCATATCTTCGAGCCAACGTGTAATGTTCTTTTTATTATATGGAGAAACCAATTCAACAAAAGCAAAAGGCGGGAATCGTGACGTCATTGAACGATACGACACTCACAAAGGTGACATACGGAAAATATGCCACTCGGGTCCCGGATGAAGTGGCGTATGGAATCTACGAGTGGTTTAGTTCCCAGTAAAACACTCTCCTCCATATAATAAATGAATTTATCGTGAATGTAAAGTGCAGAATGGATGAATCTCATAGGAAACCCTATATCTGCTTGTCGCTTGAATTCTTGATACAATATTCTGCCAATGGAACATGTTTAACTTCGGTGAATATACGGGAATCTGTCACCTCCCTCTGGCTTCTTTGAAAGAGTTACATTTTCCCTGACTTATACTGAAAATCCCTGACTTGACTTACGGTGAATGGTTAATTTTCCTGAAATGGTAACACATGTCACACACTAATATTGTGAGGAGATCCGAAATCCAGATGTTCTTTTCAAATATTAAATAAGATCGAAAATAGGAGGCCAGCAATAATAAATTTTTGTTATGCTTTCCCCATACATGTCACACGTTATCGGTGTTCTAAACTGTTAATTGTAAAATAAAGCTTACTTAAAACCCATTGTTGCTCATGGTGTAAAGGCTGATCGGCTGTCCCGAGTCCGTGGGAAAGATATTCTTGACGTGCATAATTCTTGCTGCCTATCGCTGACTGTAAACCTTTAAGCGTTGCCTGATCCAGTCTCGTCGGTTTTTGAAGCGTCGGCAGTCGGTGTTCCCTGTCTTCATAGGTTTCGTTTACAGTGTAATTCTAGTATTTTGTTGCTGCCTCTCTATACGTTTGTGGTCGCTGTGTTGACAACGTTGCCTTCCCTATGCTAAGTGATGTTCTCTCTGCTTCGCGGTTGTCTTCTTCGATCCGCTCGCCGATGAATTTTAATCGGCGTTCTCCAGAGGAGTTTCAATGGAAAATCTTCCTCGGCGAGGATTTGCAGCCACTTGCTGTGCTTGCATTTCTGTGTCGTTTGTATGGGAAATTGTTCGTGATTCACCGATGGTAAACATTGTTTCACAGACGATTAATAAACACAACAGCCCGTTTCATAAACAATACATGAAAATGCGCCCTGGTCATCGGCGGCAAAGTCTATGTTGCCTGGAAACTCAAAATGCTCCATGACGGAACACTACATGACGTCATTGGCGGACACCAAGCGCATATATTCATAGATTTATGGGGCATTGAATTCTGAAGCTGGCTAAGCCCACGCGCGGTTAGCAGACTGTGCGCGCTTTAATATTCAGGACGATCAATCGTGGGCTTTTAGCGAAACCGTTCAAAAAATTTCAAAAGTCACCTATACGGCCAGCCGTTTCTCACTTTTGAAAAACGCCAAATTTGCGTTGCGAGCTGTGTGGTCGGGTGTTTGAATGAGCACTAATATAGTTACGTTTCAACATAATAAAGAATTTTATGTTTATTTTTTTTTAATTTAATGGTTTTATAACGATGTGTAATCTTAAAAAGTGTTTGATACCCATGACATTTTGAGTACTCCTGCGAGGGATATTCATGAACGACTGAAAACAAACGGCACAGCGATAAAAATTGAAAGAGAGACTACTAACAATCAAGAAAAGAAATATAATTCGGTGAAACATTTACTGAGACAACAATTTTCATTCACGAAGACAAGTACTGAAGTGTCTCTAAAAATCCTGAGTCTTAAAGCTTAAGTGTATGTTTTAAGCCGGCTCCCTAGTGGTTCCTTTTTTGAAAGGTGAACTCGAGGCAAGAAAATCGCTCAAAGTTTTCTTTCTATTTGCTTTGAGAAAATATATCTAAAGGCTTTTTAAAGTTCTATGAGCTTTTATCAAACCTGATACTGGGTCAGATCGTTGTCTCAAATGTTACAAACATTTATAAACTTGCCGCATAAACTGTGCTCGTCTTCATGAAATTAGTTATAAAAAAACGAACACCAAATACAATAATTACTCAAGTTTACCAATCGAAATGCAGCTCCTGAAAGCTATCAAGTAAACTTTTAAACTCTCTTACGCTTCAAGCAAGGTAAAAAAAGGAAAACGATGCCATCCGAAATTGGATTTCCGACTTTGATAAGCGACGCATTTCTCAACCAAAAACCCAATAAACAAACCAGCCATGAATAACAGAAGGTTCTCTTCGTCAGATGTATTTGTACATCCAGTGGAAAAAGACAGTTAAAAACATCACAAGTTGAAACAAAACTCTGTCAGCTTCAGCTGTCGAAGTAAACAAGTTTCAAGATGCTGCGTGAACCCACCTTTCAAATTTTGACCAATCAGAGCATAAAAATTGGACGTAGAACGTGACCATGGTAAGAAAGGTCTTCCCCGCCTGTATTTTTAAATAACTGGCTGAATTTTCGCGTCCGAGGTCAGTTTGAAATCAAAATCTTGAGAGTACGGGGTCATAGTGACATAAACACAACATATTTCATATTGATTTTTTAAAAAAATAAACTTGTGCCTGCGATCATTTGAAAACTAGTAACTTGTCAGTGGACAACTTCAAAAAATACTCGACCTCGACAACTGAGCCCGGAATACGGTCAGATGATACTGGTCAGCGGAAACCCTGTTTTGACAGCTGTCAATTGATCACAACGTCGATGTGCAATCAGTTTTCTCCTGGGTTCCCAAACTAGCTAGAAAGTGTGAGAGTAAACATTGGCTTCCCTGTGGTGCGGACGGTCGCTCGCTCGCTCGGTGTACAGTCACGCGATTCACAAATTTTCTAGGATGGGTAGATTTACTTAGCTTCGGGGCTCCGCTAAAAATACCATTGACGATATAATGATGGCTGAAGCACTGCAGGAATGTTTGCCACGTTTTCCGAAAGTTTGAAATTTTAGAAACAGAGCAAAGACAAGCATTAGAAGCTTTCATCTCGGGACGTAACATGATCGCAATTTTAATGCTCAAAGCCTCTCCTTACTAAGACGTGACCATTGTAGCAAATGACGAGGAATACTTTATTTTCAAAACTGAAGTCTTGCTTTAGAACTCATTATAACGGAAAATAGTAATACCAAAACAGAAGCGTGGACTATTAAGCTAAAACAAAAGTAGTTACCAGTGGAGGAACTATAGCTTCAGTGCTCAAGAAAAATAAAATGCACTGTATCAGCGCCTAAAGAAGCTATAGTTTAAGCTGCAATTCGGACCTGTGGATCACTGAATTTATCATCCTGAAAACACTGAATAGTAATGAGCTGGGCCTAGCGTCAAAACATAGAAGGAAATCATGACATTCACGGACAATGAAAAGCTCGCCACGCATGTTATTATTCTGATCCAGGCATTTCGGATAAACCAAAGGAACTAAAATCTCTATTGAAAGGATATTTTAGCCTAAGGAGTTGAGGAAGGTTAGAGAAACTAATTAGAGAAACTAGGGCTAAAACTCTTGGCTAAACGAAAACCCGTCGATTCCAATAATTATTTTTAAGAGTTGTCTCCACATTTCTGAAAACATCGTCCAAATCAAATCAAATCACAAGTTTATTGTCCCTTTTGCAGTCGGAAGACTGAATTGTGGGATACCTTACAAGTTGTGATGTATACAAAGTATATACTAATTCGCTACATTTATTGACAAGATTGATATTTAACGGTAACAAAATTTGAGAAGCGTTCAGTCCTTCTGGCCATGGGCCTGCTAGAACTCTCTGATCTTAGACACACACTGGTAGACATAGGTACCACTCTGTTGTGTAGTAGTGGGTATAACGGGTAACCTGGCCAAACCTGACCTATAAATTTAATACACGAGACTGACCGACGGTCAGAAAGAGTGGATAATGCAGCTTTGTCAAGTGCTGTTTCATACGAAATACCAGGCCAAATCATGGTAC